CGGACGGCACCCTCTCCGGGAGCGCGCGCGGCCTTTGCCCCACTTGGGCCGCTGCTGGCCCCTGCACGGCCCCGACTCCCGCTCCGACCCGCGCCCGCACTGCCCCCCCAACCCCCGCTCAGTTCCTCGCCCGCGGAGGCCCAGGGGCGCCCGTCCTCCCGAGCCAGGCCTGGGTCTGAACCCAGACTCTGCGTCTGTGACCTTGGGCGAGACGCTCGGCCCGTCCGCCGGATTTGGCCCGTGTGTAAAATGGTCCCAGCGATGTGTCCCTGTTCTCGTGGAGTTGTTACAAGGATCAGATCGCACGCAGGCTGGGTAAAACACTCAGCACAGCGCCTGTCAGATGGCTTTCAGTAACTGTTGGGGCTTGTTGATTATTTCATACCGCGCTTTCCCAGCTTATTTCTCTCACGTGGCCAGGGCTTCCTTTGCCTGCAGGACAACAGTAAGGGGACCCCCGTGGAGGGCTGTGTCTGCCAGGCCCTGTGCTGGTGCTGCAGTCAGCATCTCTTTCACCCTCCCACCCCCAGGAGCTCAGTACTGCTGGCCACCAGGTTTTCTAGGCACGGAGGCTCAGTGAAGTTAAGATCCTTGCCTAAGGTGGCAAAGCTGTGGTCTTAGTACGACTGGTGTCGTCCTGAAGATCGACTGGGATAGTTGTGTAGCAAGTGGAAGAAGCATTCAGTTGGTGTGGGTTTCTCAACAGCGCGCTAAAGACATTTTGGGCCGATAATTCTTTGTTGTGGGGTCTGTCCTGTACCTCGTAGGGTATTAGGCAGTATCCCTGGCCTCTGCCCACTCCATAGTAAGAGCATTTCACCCTACAACTACCAGAAATGTTTGCAGACGTTGCCAGATATCTTCCGGGGGGCAAAGTCATCCCTGGGGTAGGCCCGCTGCGTCACTGGATGGCCATTACCATGATGATCATGCAGCAGGACCTCCTGCATTCCCCTCCCACTACTACCTGTTCTTCCTGCCCACAGCTCTGCATCCTCGGGCCTGGCGTCGGTTACATACTATCTACCAGTCTGTGGAGCTGCCAGAGACGCACCAGATGCTGCGCCAGACGTGCCGGGAATTTGCTGAGAAGGAGCTGGTTCCCGTTGCAGCCCAGATGGACAAGGAACATCGCTTCCCGGCGGCCCAGGTGAGAGTTCCAACCTCAACAGCCCCCTATGGTGGTCTGCCAGCCGCTGCGGGACTGGCGGTGACAGGGACAGCCAGAGGCACTGAGACTCCAAGCCAGGAATCCTAAGGTGGGTCCTGGAACCCAGAAGATGCTCTGGAGGTTTCCTTCATCCAGCACGAGGCCTGTTGCCCGGATTTAACTTCCGCAATAACAGTCATAATGGTGGGTGGGCGTTGCACTTACCGTGGGCCAGGCATTGTGCTGCTAGCCACGGTTAGCGCTTGCAGGATGCCCGCCGGGGGCTAGGCCCGGTTCTGGGCCCCTCGAGGTGTGCCAACCCATCTGCATCTCACAATCAACCTGTGAGGTGAGGGTCCAAGTATCACATACCCTGCTGGATAGTTGGTGAACTCACATGAACTGAGGGAGGGGCTGTTAAATATTGTGCCCCAGGTCATGGAGCTAATGAGATGCCGAGTGAGGGCCGAGGCCCAGCTCTTCTGCCCGACCCTGAGACCCCAGGGAGCGTGCTCCTTCCCGTGCCTCTGTGTGTTTGCCTTGCAGTCAGCTCCTCCGTCATTTCCTGGGTAAGATGTTTCTGCTGGATCCCCGGGGCCTGGCAAGCCCTGTGGCACACGGCATAAATATCCAACAAATATTTGTTCAGTAAAGGATTTGTGGAGGTGTAAATCTTTCTGGCCTCTTCTCCTGGCCTGTTTGTCCCTCTAAGGAGTTCCAGAGTTTTCTGATTGCCATTTCATGTCTCCTGGGCTCTGGGGCCACTTTTCCAGCTTAGAAAATACCGTGCTGTTCACAGCATCTTGGGCACCATGCCCGTACTGTGGCGACACACGGAGAGCTCCGAGTGAGGTGGGCAGATGGCAGTCCGGGCACTGACACTGTTTGGGTAACTTCGGGTAACTTTTGGGTCATCTTGGCTAGGTCTGAGGACATCCTCACCTGCAAATCTGATCCCCATTTGGCTTCTAGAATGCTTGCCAGGATTAAATGAGCCAACACATGTCAAATTCTGGTGCCTCCTGCTCCTGGGGACGTGGGAACTGGCAACACTATGATTGTTTTTATTACAGTTGAGAAATTTGAGGCAGAGGGGGGGTTAAGTGATTTTCCAAGGTTACCGATCTGTGCGCTAGAATTCACATCCCAAGCCTGGCTGGCTCCAGGACCTCCTTCTCCATCCAGTTTCCCCGAGGTTGGCCCAGAAGCCCGGCTGGCAGACAGGGAAGGCCTGTTCTAGTTGGGAATATTCCCGTCAAGGGCCTAAACTACCCTTCTGCCCTCCGCTCTGTGACCCCACCCAGCACGTTCCCTTTACCGTTCAGTGCCATTAATGGAGATGTGACCAAACTCCAGCTCTCGGTGAGCAGAGGATGGGAACAAGCCGAGAGGAGTTTCAAGACATTGCTCCCAGAGCAGTTGCCTGAGACATGGCTCTGTGTTGGGGCTTTTCCTACCAAAAGACAGACGGCTTGATTTACTTTTCCTCCGCTATTCCTCTGTTCCCTCAAATTCTTACTAAGATGACAGGCCTAGATTTGCTCTGGGCAAGAAAGCTGGCAGTAGAAACAGACTTTTTTCCCCCAAGCTCCTCTGAACTAGTCCTCTGGCTTTATCATCTCCTCCTTGCTTCCTGGGGCTTGGGAGTTTGCAAGCTACCCCTCGGAGCAGTGGCAGACACAGGTGTGGAGGGAGGAGGCCACGGCATCAGCCTCCCTCCCTCTGGAAGCCGGGAGAGCTCATCAGGACTCGCCCAGGGCACGGCCGTAGCTCCGAGTTGTGATGGTGTCTGTCTTTGGGTCTGTGTTGGTCTAGGTGTTTTCGTGTCGCTGATCACGCATCCGGCTTGCACTTTCCCCTTTTCGGAGATGGCGAAGGAGCCGCTGTTTGAATGGCATGGGGTTGTAGAGCTAGGGAGGAGCTGTGCCTCATCTTCTGATCTTGCCACCACCCCTCCCGTGCCCCGGACTCTTGTCTTGGCGGCTGATGGGACGCGGAGGTTAATCCATGTTTGCTTCCCTTCGTGGCAGATGGAAGCCTGCTGGATTTGTGCTTTTATCCCTGGCTCTGTTACTCTGGATGGCGCTCAGCTCCCAGGTACCGAAGGGAATCCAGGGCTTACGCGGGCAGAGGGATCAGAGAACTAGACCCACAGATAATATGGCAGGTTGCCCAAACCAAAATAATACCACTGAACGTTACCCAATAAAACGGTGATAAGAACAGGAATAGCTATCATTTGGGGGTTACTGTATTCCAGGTGCTTGCATTATGTCTTCAGCACAGCACTCTGGGGAAGTTACTCAAAGTGTCTTCGGTGTTTAGATGAAAAAACTGAAGCCAGAGGTTAAGTTTCTTGCCTAACAGCCCCACAGGTAGGATGGGAGGAGCCAGATACAGACCCCTGAGCACCCGCCTGGCCTATAGTAGGTGCTTAGTTAGTGATTTCTAATATTTTTTCCTGAAGAATTTTTTGTCCACCCAGTTCCCCCAGAAAAAGTGGGTTCATGGGGGAAGATTCAAGGGGAGAAGAATTGAGGGAGGCCAAGAATTAGGTGGAAGGCTAGTGCCAATTTCTGCTTGCTTGGCTGGTTTGGGAACCTACACTGAGCTTCAGTTTTCCTGTATTCAAACCAAAAAAAAAAAAAGAAGAAGAAGAAGAAAGGAAACAAAGGAAAATTTACAATGTTACTTTGTTATAAAGGGAAATAAGAAATAAAATGGTGTTTCAACTGATTTTGGACTCACCAGCCTTCCAGCACGTCGGGGCTGTATATCTATTGTGTAAAACTGAGCCCCTGGCCTGGCGGGCTCAGTCAGTAGAGCGTGCGACTCTTGATCTCAGGGTCATGAGTTCGAGCCCCATGTTGGGGTGTGGAGCCTACTTTAAAAATGAAACAAAACAAAAAACCAAGCCCCATTTCTTCTCCTTCACTTGGTGACTGTTTATTGAATAACTTTAGTAGAGCAGGTGCAAGACGCACTCTTCCTTGTCGTGCTCTCTCTCCCGTGATGGTGCTTCCCTGACCCAGTTAGCCACATAGAAACCTCTAGAACCATGCCCCGTTGTCTTCTTCCTCCTACCCACTGAGTCCTGTTAATTCCACCCTGGAAATGTGTCCCGAATGCCGCCTCCCCTCTGTCCCAAGCGCATTCCTCCATCTGTGTCCTGGGAGCATCCTGTTCCTCACGGCGACTCTGTGGCTGGCCTCAGCACAGTGCTTTGTGCTGTCTCGGGCGGTCGGCTTCCTGCGCACGCCCGCACGTCCCTGTCCACACGACCCCGTGGTCTCGGGAAGAGCCCGACAGTCCGCAGCGGGGTTGCTGACCGAACGGGGAGGCGAGGTGATGCTGCGTGGCCGTCCTGGCCCAGCACGTAGCACCCGCCGGCCACCAGCGGACACTCGAGGCGGCGGCAAACAGGGCTTCTCTCCCTTGAATAAGCGGCAAATCTCCGGCAAGCGAGGAGATCGGATCCTTTGAAGGGAGTCAGTTTTGACTGTGTTGAGCTCATGCAAACTCAGGATACGTTTGATTCTGCGAAGGCGTAAGCTCCGGGGGCGCCTTACGGCGGTGCGTCTCTAGGAAGTGCCCGCTCAACGTTCCCCAGCGGGAAGGACACACATGTTCTTCCTGTTTCCGCTGCTTTGCGCCTTGTCCCCTGTCTCTTTCTCTTTTCCATGCTGTCATCTCTTCCCTGCGCTGCCAGGCTGGCTTTCTCCCCCGCCGCCGGTCCATTTGCCCAGACACACCACCAGCATTGTTCTGTCTCTGTGTTTTCCCTAGAACGTTCCTGCGAGCTGGCTGTAGCATCATGCCAGGGATCTGGTGACCTCTTTTCTTTTCTTTTTAAGGATTTATTTATTTATTTGTCAGAGAGAGAGAGCACAAGCAGGGGGAGCAGCAGAGGGAGAGGGAGAAGCAGGCTCCCCACTGAGCAGGGAGCCCGATGCTGGGCTCGATCCCAGGACGCTAGGATCATGACCTGAGCTGAAGGCAGATGCTTCACCTACTGAGCCACGCAGGCGCCCCTGGGCTTTCTGAGTAGAAAGGTTGGGAAAAGCAGAGCCAGGCATCACTGATGAAATTGGGTGAGCCGGATTGCGTCCAGGCTCTGGGTCCAGTGTGGGCGAGCTCCTGCCCTCCAGCAAGCTGGAGCTGGAAGCTTTTCAAGCAAACCCTGGTGGCAAGTAGTGGGGGCAGAGTGGACCTGGGTGAGACTTGAGGGGAGTGACTGCTTGGGGTGCAGTGAGCTCCTGCAGCGAGAACCGTCAGGAGAGCCAGTGGGGGGCGCAGTCAAGGGTAGAGGGCCCCCAAGCTCTGGCTTCTTTATGGCCTGGACGTGGCTTGACGTCCTATGTCCCGGAGGAGTCGCCTCTCTGTGGAGCTCCCCCCCGCCTGCAGAAGGAAGACGGATCATCCTCGCTCCGCCCACACCCCACCTGGGGATTTCGGTTCCCTTTTTGTTAATTGGCGTGAAGTGGAGTTGCGGGGTGTGGGACGACTCCGTCCTTCATTCCAGGGATGTACCATGAAGGGCTGTGGGATGAAGAGGAGGTTGGGTAGCACCTGCAGCATGGGACAGCTTTGCCGGGAGGCCAGAGAGAGCCTTCCGGCAAGGCACCCGTCGAGGCCCGCGCGTGTATCCCGGAGGCCCGCGTGCTTCCAGCCCCCGGGGAGTGTGGCCCAGGCTCCTGACCCCGCACCGCCTTCCCCAGCGCAAGGCCGCGTTCCCCCTGGCGTGGGTCTGTTGGCTGCCTGGAAGGGTGAGTCTGACGGTTTCTGTTTTGAGGCCCCGCTCATGCTGGCACCGGGCCCTGTGAGCCCCCACGTGGGATGAGATACGGTGCCGTGTAGACCACAGCCCACCGCCGTGGGGCAGTGCCTCTGAGCAGGCCCACCCCTCCCGCTGCAGCCGTGTGGTCACCACAGAATGTTTGTCTTTTTCGAGATTCTCAAAGTGACACATCTGGGGTACCTCTGAGTCCCCCCTCTTTTTTTAAGACAGAGCGTGAGCAGTAGGGACAGGTAGCGGGGGACAGGTTGTGGGCGGGGGAGAGTCGTAAGCAGGCTCCGTGCCCAGCGCGGGGCCCAACCCGGGGCTCGATCCCGTGACCCTGAGATCATGACCTGAGCGGAAATGAAGAGTCCGACGCTTAACTGAGTCACCCAGGCTCAGAAACTGTCAGTTTCCTCTTGCGCTGTTGTGACAAATGACCACAGACTAGAGACTAGCAGCTTAAAACGACAGCGGCTTATTATCCGACAGTTCCTGGAGGTTGGAAATCCGAAGTGGGTCACGCTGGGCCGAAATCAGCACGCTGGTGGTTGTGGAGAAGGGTCCATGTCCTGCCCCTTCCAGCATGTGGAGGCCGCCTGCGCTACCCGCCCGTGACCCCCTTCCAGCCAGCACTAGGGTCACTCTGACACCTGCTTCCACTGTCACCTCTCGTTCTCCTTGTCTCCCTCTTCCCCTTGTAAGGACCCTTGAGATGCCATTGGGTCCCCCTGGAGAATCCACGATCCTTAACGGCATCTCCTCTGCAGAGGCACCCGCGTCTGCCCTCTTGTGGCCGCAGGGCGCCATCAGCTTTGTGGGCTCGGTAGGTCAGTGCCACCCCGGGGACAAGAAGTGTCTGCCCCCCCCACCCTGGGTGTTTTCGGGAGACACTGAGGGGGGAGTAAGGCCACCCCAAGCGTGGAGGCTTGTAGGAGGGTTTCCTATGGGAACAGTTCAGGGCAGAGTCTGGTAAGAATTCCACAGAGGGGCGTGTAAATCATGATGGGAGTGCTCCTCATCCCGCTCACCCTCGTCCAGGTGACCACTTGTCAGCCACTTCGTGATGGAAAGTGCGTTCACCCATCATCCCACTTGCGCCAGGCGCCGGGCTCCGCACTTGATATGCATTTTCTCAGTCCTTCAACAGTCCCATGACGCAGGTGCTATTTGCGGAGGGGGTGCAGCACTTACAATCATGGAAGTAATATTAATTATAGAAAAATGAGAAAATATTGTGAAAATTCTTATGTTTGCTTTTTTAAGTCCAAATAGTGTAAGAACGTGGTTCCAGGAATCAAATGACACCGAGGGGCTCTTGGAAAGCAGCGCTGCCCTTCTCCTGTGCCCCCTGCCGCTCCCCACGGAGCTAACTAAACTTGGTTTTAGTTGCTTCCTTTCGAAGCTCAGTAGGTTCTGTGTGGTCCGTGTCGGTCCCCCAGAATGCAGGCTCACCTGTCCCAGGTCAGAGGGGCGGAGCTGGGCGCTGTGCTGAGCTGGTTGTGACCCTGGAGTCACCGGGGTGCGGTCCGGCCGCATTATTCATGAGCTCTGGCCCCGAGCAGGTTGCTCCATGTGTCTGAGGTCTGGAGAGACTCAGATGCAGAGTTTGGCTCACAGAAGGCACTTGCTGGTTGACGGTTACTGTTATTGTTGTTCCAAATCAGAAACTCCAAGCTCTTAGCATTCTTGGCCCTCATGGTCAGGGAGAAGGATTTTTTTTTTTTTTTTTAAAGATTTTATTTATTTATTTGACAGAGAGAGATACAGCGAGAGAGGGAAAACAAGCAGGGGGAGTGGGAGAGGGAGAAGCAGGCTTCCCGTGGAGCAGGAAGCCCGATGCGGGGCTCGATCCCAGGACCCTGGGACCATGACCCGAGCCGAAGGCAGACACTTAACGACTGAGCCACCCAGGCGCCCCAGGGAGAAGGATCTTAACCCAAACCAGCAGAGTAATAGGTGTGAACTTCCAGCTGCATAAGCCCCGCATTGGAAGGGCACAGGTTCTGGGAGAGCTGCAAGAAGTGAGGCTTGAGCTGAGATCTGGAGGGAAGGAGACCACAACAACTAGTTGATAAAGGGCATTACTGACCGGAAACAGCACGTGAAAGGCCCTGTGGTGGGGAGACAGGGGTGTGTGTGTAGAGCTGAGAGAAGGTCTGTATGGCATTGTGCTGTCCTGCTCCTTACCCTGGGGGCCCCTGAAGGTTTCCTGTGCCTTCTGCCCGCTTGCTGGCTGTGGCTGCGGACACAGAGGTGAGCCAGTGTGGAGTGTGGGGGCAGAACAGCTTGGATGCACGGTGCTGTCAGGCAGACCTGAGCTGAGGCTGGGTCTTCAGCGTCTGGCCTCGGGGATCAGGGGGTGGGTGGATGGGACCACATGGCCTGAGTTTCCGCAGGCACTGGCTCAGGAGCAGGAGGGTTTGGAGTTGGGAGGGGTGGGCACGGGCCCCCAGCTGCCCTTGCCATGACATCCTCCCTTTGTGGCCAGGTGAAGAAGATGGGCAAACTCGGGCTTCTGGCCATGGATGTGCCTGAGGAGTTCAGCGGCGCCGGCCTCGATTACCTGGCCTACGCCATTGCCATGGAGGAGATCAGCCGGGGCTGTGCCTCGACAGGAGTCATCATGAGTGTCAATAACGTGAGTCCCCACTCCTGGGACACACAGGTGGAAGGGAGGCTCCCGTGGGCAGGTGGGCACTCTGGCCACGTGTCCTGGTGTCCTGGGCATGGCCGGGCTTTGGCACCCAGCCCCCGACCTCCTCTGGGCTCGGTTCTTTCAGGTCGGGTCTTGGAGTGGGGCCCACAGGCCCCCTCTGACCACCCACTCACCCCTTCCGCCCACCCCCACAGTCCCTCTACTTGGGGCCTATCCTGAAGTTCGGCTCCAAGGAGCAGAAGCAACAGTGGATCACCCCTTTTACCGGTGGCGACAGAATTGGCTGCTTTGCGCTCAGTGAACCAGGTACCACGGGGGGACCGTGGTTGGCCCCCGTGCCTTGTGCAGAATCAGAGTGACAGACTCGGGTTGGGGCTGGGTTGCCGCTGGGGCAGAGGCAGGAGCAGGGCCATGAGACACAAGGGCACAGGCCTTCGGTGTGGGCAGTGGGGGCTGAGCTCTGGCCGCCTGGCTCTGGGGTCCCTTGGGCGTGAAGATGCCCCACTCTACCCCCCCCACCCCACAGGCCCTCTTGGACTAGTCTCTGAGAGCTCTCTGGTTGCTGGTGTGGCCCGGGAGCTTCCTCTTGGGAGCCAAAACCCTGATTCTTTGTGCTGGAGCTGGGGGCCAGGCTGGGTCCCCTGCTCACTGGTGGCAACAGTGGCTTCTGAATCTGTGTCGGGGGCAGGGAACGGCAGCGACGCGGGAGCCGCCTCCACCACTGCCCGAGCAGAGGGGGACTCATGGGTCCTGAATGGCACCAAGGCCTGGATCACCAATTCCTGGGAGGCCTCCGCCGCCATCGTCTTCGCCAGCACAGACAGATCCTTGCAGAACAAGGTGGGGACCCCGGGGAGAGGGTTGGGGAGACCTCTGGGCCGCAGATGTTTCGTAGCTTCTCGATGCGAATTCCCTGTGGCTCAGTGGAGCTGTCCCTGCTCTCACACCCCTTGGGGCGGCCCCTTTGCTTCCCTGGCCTGCTGGTGGCCTGAGGCCCGAGTCTGCACGTTCCCCTGAGCAGCCAGCAGAAGGCGCCCCGGCTGAGGTCTGAGGGAGGTGGCGGGAAGGGGCCGGTTTGCTCTGGTGCCCTTGAGTAAGGGGTGTGGCCGGGCCAGTCTCTGAGAACATCTCTGCCTGTGTCTGGGCCTTGCAGGGCATCAGTGCCTTCCTGGTTCCCATGCCGACGCCTGGGCTCACGCTGGGGAAGAAGGAAGACAAGCTGGGCATCCGGGCCTCATCCACTGCCAACCTCATCTTTGAGGACTGTCGTATCCCCAAGGACAGCCTGCTGGGGGAGCCGGGGATGGGCTTCAAGATAGCCATGGTGAGCCTGGCGGTGGGGCCGGGGGCCCTGGGGCCCAGCTGGCCAGCCACTGACCGGGGCCTTCCCCACAGCAAACCCTGGACATGGGGCGCATTGGCATCGCCTCCCAGGCCCTGGGCATCGCCCAGGCCGCCCTCGATTGTGCTGTGAACTACGCTGAGAATCGCAGGGCCTTTGGGGCGCCCCTCACCAAGCTCCAGAGCATCCAGGTAACGGGGAGCCTAGCCCGGATGCTGGAGGGAGGGCAGCTCGGCCTTTCCTCTCTGGCTCCCGGGTTCTCCCTCCTCTTCCCACCCCCCTCCTTGGAGGGAGGGGCAGCCACTGACTGCTACGGGGTGGGGGTGGGGGGCTGGCTTGTTGCAGTTCAAGTTGGCGGACATGGCCCTGGCCCTGGAGAGCGCCCGGCTGCTGACCTGGCGTGCTGCCATGCTGAAGGATAATAAGAAGCCTTTCACCAAGGTGCCTGTGGGGAAGGGGTCTCCCCAGGCATGGCCCAGAGCCTTGGTGTGTGGAGCAAGACGTCTGGGTGGGGTTCCAGTTCCTCGGGCCTGTGGGTTTATTGCTGCAGGGGGAGGCTCCCCAGGACCGGCCCCGCTGAAGCGCCATGTGCCGGTGGCTCCCCCCCGAAGTAGTTTCTGACCCCACCGTCCCCTGTGCCTAGGAAGCAGCAATGGCCAAGCTGGCCGCGTCGGAGGCAGCCACTGCTATCACCCACCAGGTGAGCGTCCCGGTGCGAGAGGGGGGCGCCAGGCGAGGCCCCCGGGGGGCGAGTGGCAGGAGGTGGGCCAGCGTGCCCGCCCCTGCTGGTCCCCCAGTGTGGCCGATCCTGCCCCTGGCGCGGCCTTTTCCCTCCTGATGGGCCGCTTTCCCCGGTAGGCCATCCAGATCCTGGGAGGCATGGGCTACGTGACAGAGATGCCGGCCGAGCGCCACTACCGCGATGCGCGCATCACCGAGATCTATGAAGGCACCAGCGAGATCCAGAGGCTGGTGATCGCCGGGCACCTGCTCAAGAGCTACCGGAGCTGAGCCGCGAGGCAGGGCCGACGAGCGCCCCGCTCAGGTGCCAGGCTGGCCTGAGGACCACGGGAAAGGGGGGCAGGAGCCGTGAGGCTTTAACCCTGACGCTTGGTCTGGGACCCTGGGGGGTGGACAGCTGGGGGCCATGCCTCTTCTTGCCAGGACCTCCCGGCCCCAGCCCTCTGCTGTGGACTCACCTGCCGCGCCCACCTCCACCCACCCCAGACCCAACTGCCTGGGGGTAAGTCTGGGAGAAAGGAAAGGTGAGGGGCGGTGACCTGCATCGGAGGACCCCCAGTCTTCAGCTCCGTTTTTTGACTTTGCTTCCTCTTCACACCTGTGCCTTGTTCTCTTCATCCAAGTGGACCTGGCCTCCTGGAGGCGGGGCCTTGGGAAGGGCTGACTTACCACTGTGGGACCCCCATTTCCGTTCTCAGCAGGAGACCCAGGTGGGACAGGCTCTTGGATGCGCCTGCTCTTTTCCCTGAGGTCAGGGGTCAGGAGGAGGAGTGGGGGCCCGCGGTGGGGGCCAGAACGACCGGTGGTCTCGGGAAGGCCAGCTGGCTCCTCGGGAAGCACCTGGAACCCCGTAAGCCGGTTCTTCATAAATTATAAATGCGTGGGAAGGGGTCTGAATCATTCTTGAGGACAATCGATTGTGGAGACGAAGTAATAAAGCATACCTGTGCCCTGGTCCTCGTGTCCTTGCCTGGGCGCTGCTGGGGAGGGGACGTGGGCTGCTAGTGTGCCCAGGGAGAGCTACCACCTGTGAGTGTGTGTGCGTGTGAGTCTGCGAGTGTGCGTGCACGCGGGTGTGAGGCAGACTGCAGGGGCGTCGGTGTCGAGGGAGAGCTCCAGCACGAGGCAGGGTTGACCTGCTCCAGGAAGGTACAGAGCTGGGTCCCCGGGCCGCGGTGAGGGTCTAGGACAGCCTAGACTGCCGCGCACGGAGGGCGGGTCGGGGCCCCTGGGTCAGTGGGTGCTGTCCAGGTGGCTCCGCAGGGTGGGTCGAGCCCCTGAGCAGGAAGGGGGAAGGGACGGTGCGTCACAGGTGGGGAGGGCGACTGGGAAAAGCGGTACAGGCCTGCAAGCCCGGCTGCGGAACGGTGGACATGGGGCCGCCACAGCATCCTCCGCTGGTGACGGGGGTCTGGTGCCCCTGGAGCCAGAGCCCAGCTTTTAACGGCAGCCACCCAATGCGGCGAGGCAGCGGGAAGAGAAACCCTGCAAGACAGATTTCCAGGGAGCGGGGGGTCAGCCCTCCGCAGGGCGGGGAAGCGGGCCTGTCGTCGGGGTGAGGTCTCTGCAGGGAAGTGGGGACGGAGACATGACCCATTTGGAGTCCCCATCACGTGGGCGCCGAACAGCCTCGATGCCCTTGGCGGAGGAAGCCGCGGGGAGCTTCGCGCCTCCCCTGGGGCGCTGCCCTGGACCCGGGCCCAGGCTCCCACGCCAGGGGCTCGCTGCG